CCAAGAAATCATCTCCTTAGCCTTGATTTAACTTGGGTTACTCTAATTTTTGGTTGTGGTTCTTGAATTTTGGGTAGTTTCCGTGAGTTCCCTTCACTTCCCGCCGGCTTCTCCCCAAACTGCAGCTCCAGTTTTGCTTGCTGGATTTATGGTATATGACAGCCCCCTTTGAGCCTAAAATCATCCATTAGTTGTTGAATTATCCATGTAGTGGCTGCCCCTGTGATGTCCGAAATTCTATTGAAAAATGGGGATGAACTTTGACAGTAATTAGACCATGATTTAGCTTAATTCATGTAGAAATTTTGTTTATTTGGACTACTGTGAGATTTTGGAGTGAAATCTCGTGAGATTAGCTATGGTTTTGCCAATTATGGAAGTGCAGTTACTGTTCATGGTGTGATTACCGTTCACGGTACTGTTTATGGGTACTGTTTACGTGTACTGTTCATGAACTGATGACCAACAATTAACCGGGATTAAATGATTAGTTTGTAATATAAGAACAAATTTGAAGATGTCTGGTCATGTGAAGACTGATAAAAATAGCATCGTAATTAGAGGTAGTCTTAATGATGATTTCACTTTAAAGTTGTGATAGTATGGTATGAATTTTGGGGTATTTTGATTAGGTTATTGAGTGTTTTGTCACTCGAGTACTTGGCTTGAGTTCCGGATTTGAGGTAAGTAAATTATGGTAACGCCCTCCGATTTTAATGCACATTTTAGCTTGTTTTTGAAGTGGTGGCGGGACTAAACCCGTTTTACACAAGTATGATCGATTTGGAATAAAATTATTATTCTTCTTATTGATTTGAGCATGCTTGCTTGGAGTTTATTTAACTGCCCTGATGATCTGAAAATTTTCTATAAAGTATGATTTTCTGTTAAATTCTGCCTGTTTTGTTTTGTCTCCAATATGGTCATGTTATTCGTGTGCCCCTTAGTGGGAGGTTTATAAATGCTAGCACATGTGGACATATTTACTAATAGAACCGGTTCATTCTGTAATCCTGCCAATGGGATAATACATTGATTATTACTAAAACCTTGCCAATGGGATAAAACATTGGTTACTACTGTGCCCGCCAGTGGGAGGTTTATAAACGCTGGCCATGACCTATAGATGAGACTATTACTGAATTTTCTTCTGCATTAACGGTTTGTCATTGAACGCTTGTTTATTGAACTAAATCTGATTCTGCATTAACGGGTTATCATTGAACGTTTTATTATGTTAAACTGTTTATCTTGCATGCTTAAGTTTTACCCATGGGCTATCCATATTTACTTACTGAGTTATCTCATAGTTTTTCCTTGTCCACCATTTTAGGAATCGAAGTCAAGGACGGGGAAAAAACTAGGGAATGACGAGTTAGAAGGCTAGTCATCTTGTAAATTGACATAGATTTTAGATATAGATCATGATCTTGTAAACTGGATTTTAATTGGAGATTTTATAAATTCATTTAATGGATTGTTAGTTTACAAGAGATTTGATCTTGAGATTTTGAACTTAAGTCATGTTGGACATAGAATTATTTTGAAATATCTAATTTAAGTTATTGGATTGTCATATGTGAATTGGATAAGTTTCGAGCCTTGTGCATTTGTGAGACCCTTTCACGAGTGCACGGCGTTTGTTACGTCTCGGATTTGAGTTTTGAGGCGTGACACATACTAAGTTTGCAAAAATTTGCTGACTAAATTAGAATTTTAAATTAAAACCTTTTTAATTAATAAACTGTGTAGCTACCAATCTATCTTTTTCTCCCCTTAGCATATCCCTTGACTTTTTGAACTTTTTTTTATTCTCAAAAAAACCTATAGCTTTTAAATTAAAACTAAAGTGAATAGAAAGGTAAATACCAAATTTATTTGATTATTTATCATTAATTGACAAATATAAAGAAAGACTTTGGATTTCTAGATGAGAAAATCACATTTTATTTTGGGAGTGAAAATCACATATTGATTGGTAGTCTTTAAATAGTATCAATATCATTGTATGCCTTTTATCATGGTATAATCTTATCATGTTAGTCCCACCATGTGAGATGTCGAAATATATATATTTATACACACACACACACAATAGAAGAATAATCTAAAAGCATACTTAATTGAAGAGCTTATATTGTTCAACCACATCTTTTCCTGTCAACTCTTTAGGTGCATGATGATGTTCTGTTGTTCCATCAAAAGCTTTTGCATCTTCACGCCAAGGATGGTCTAGTGGAAGAAATCGATGGTGACCCATGTAACATGTTTTATGACTATTTCGAAACCTTAATGAACAGGTCTCAGTCTTGCAAGCTCTCTCAATTCTAAACTTGAATAAGAAATTTATGGCTAATTTAAGTTTAAGAATAATAATAAAAAAAACTCTTATAAATACTCATTCAAGTTTAGAATTGAGAGAGCTTTGGGAGGCTGGTGGCAGTTCTCTTTTAAGCATTCTTGGATATCAAGATAAAGGATTCGTCATCAGGGATTTTAATTTCTTTAAATTGGGTTTTATTCTTCCTTGATATTCTTATGTTCATAACTATAATTTCAAGTTTTATTATTTTTATTATGAACTAATTTATTTTATTAAGGTTACAATGTAGCCTAATCAATTTATTATAGATTTTTGTGATTTTATACTTTCAATTAAAGTTATTCGCATAATGAGTTTATGTTATTGAGTTTAATGCATTGAAAGTCTGCTCACATTTCAATTGATTTAGTGATTTTATGAATGAACTTGAGAAAAATTTTGTATAAATTAGACCAATAACAATATAAACCATATGTTAGACTATGAAACCGAAAGGTAATTAGCTCACATGTGGTAGTAGAAGAGAAGAGAGTTAGAAGCTCCCCCTTCTGAAGTTAGAGGTTTTCATAGAATTTAATACTCATTGGTTTGTTTAAAATTACATAGAGATATGACTAATTTAACAAACAAACGAAGGATTAACTTGACTTGAGAAAACTAGTTAATTAATTTAGGGAAATCCGTCATCATATACAATAACACTCAACAAATTGATTTTAAAAGTATATTAAATTAAAATTTATATTGATTGATCATGGTAAAATCAATGCCTTAATACCTCATGTCTTGATTAGTTTTATTTTAATTATTATTAAATTAAAGTTTCTTTTTTTATTGTTTAAATAAATTTAGATTAATTATTTTGGTACTTAATTAATCACAATTCTCGTGGATTTGACACTCTACTTATCATTATATTATTTGAAGCAACTAGTACACTTGTTAGAATGATTTTAGCACATTAAGCTTTCAATACCATTGCCGAGGATTGTTGAATTTAATTAATATCGAAGTTAATTAATTCTAGATTTAATTTGAACATTTTTTTTTCTTTCATTTCTTTACTTTGATTTTTTCTATTTTCTTTGTTTTTGTTTTTATAGGTCTAACTATGGATCGATTTATTATAGATACTGATATGAATTATCAATGTCTTGCTCCAGAGTTAAGAGCACAAGTTGAAGCAATTACTATCAATTGGGAAGTAGAAATTGATGATGATGAACTTGAATGATTTCAAGCAGTCATTGAAAAGTTTGAAGTAAAGAAGGCTTTAGTGAAACGATTAAATATCACTTGTCAATGTTGTGGATTTGAACATTTTAGCTCTAATTGCTATTTTAACCATCTAGCAAATGTGTTGACTTTTCTTGTGATTTTTATAGTCAGCAATATAATTCTTATCCCAATACATGCAACTTTGATTGAATAAATTATTCAAACTCCTCATGGAATACTGAATATATATTGGAGCCACAATCAAGGTTTCAAGCTCAAGAAGAGGAGACATGTTTCAATAGAAATTTGGAAGTCCAATCAAGTCATTCGCTCAACTTAGTTGCTGAAGAAATACAAGTTGAGTTACCTAGTGCCACAATGAAAAATCAAGAAGAAGAGGTAAACACTTTTACCCTTGGAGATTGAAAGACAACTTAGAGAAGTGGAAAGCATACCTGTAGAAACTAAACAAGAGGATGTCCCTAAGGAAGAAGAGGAAAAAGCTCAAGTGTCATTTGAAGTGTTCAATGGGGAGTCTTCTTTAACCAAATCTGATTTTAATGATTATTTTGTTATTGATATGGTTGATGAGATTTTGCACGAAAACATTTACGAGGATCCATTTGAGATTTATCTTATTCAAGCAAAGGACCCAATCAAAGAATACATAAATTGGTTGAACACATCCTCTCCTTCCTTGGAATCAAAGGAGGCAATCCTAGAAGAATTGGGAAGGCACATCTCTTGGCCTAAACCTAACCCATCATAGAATAGTCATTGGAGAAATTCTTATGGTGGATTCAACTTAAGGGCAAGAAAGCCAAGATTTAAGAAAACGAGAGGACATGCCCTACGACTTGATCCAAAACCACCTTAGAGTGGTAGAAAGTCTAGCTAATAACTATAAATTAAGCACTTCTTGGGAGGCAACCTAAGCATAAATTTTTCTTTTCTATTATTTCTTTGTCTTTTATTTTAATAGTTTAGATTTTTTTATTATTTTTTGTCTCTTTATGGCCCAGGTTAATGCATAAATTGTTGTTCTTTGATTTTGGCCAAGTCACTGAACAAGTTTGGGGGATACAATTATGGAAATTCACATGCTAGAAGTCTCCTCTAATTGAAGACAACTCAACTTCAGAACTTAAATTTTAAGTCTTCAAGTACAAAACTTAGGAAGTTTCTCTTTTCTCTTACTTTTATTTTACATTGAGGACAATGTTTGATTTAAGTTTGAGGGAGAGAATAACTTTTAGGCATCCATTCTTACATTAGTTTGCATTCATATTTTCATGATATACATTTTTTTTATTTTTAGAAATTAGGTTTCTTTTTTAGGAGTTGGTACAATTAGTGTCAAAGAATTAAATATTCTTGAGTTGGAAATTCTAAAACTTCTAAAATCTTTGAATCTTAAAAGAGATACAAAATCTAAAAAATAGTACTGTTATGATGAAGTTTAAGTTCATGAGTATTCTATTCTACTTGAACACATGTTTATAGTGAGAAGTTTAGAGAGAAGACTTAGTAGCACTTAGTAGCACCTAAAAAGCACATAAAAAAAAAAGAAAAAAAGAAGAAGAAAGAAACCAGCACACAAAAAGGCTTGTTAATTTCTATTCCAATGTTTCTAGTTGCTTAGTAATTGGGGGTTAGGAATCAGCCCCATGTCAATTTTCACATTAAACGGTGACTTGAAATATGAGTATTCAAAGCACTTTGGGTTTATGACTTGTTGAGTAACCGAGTGCTTTCATCACAAATGTTAGTATTCGTGTCAAAAGACAAGTGATAACTTTGGGAAGAATGTGTTGTATGGCTAAAAAAAGAAGAAGAAAAAAGAAAAAAACAGAAGTCGAATGTTTCGTGGTTTTTGTTACTTGACTAAGTGTGTTCTTAGGGGTGTCTCTTCACCTAATGCCCTAAAGCCAATTGGTTTGGGAGCCATTGGTAGAGAAAGCTTGTTACATGGGTGACTTAGAAAGCCTAAGGAAACTCAACCAAAAAGAAAAAAAAAAAAGAGAGAGAAAAAGAAAAAATTAATAATAAGTGTTAAAGTGTGAAGGTTTAAACTCAGGATTTCTTATTATCAATTTTCACACACACACTAAATGCTCATGAGATAAATCTTTTGATAAGTGATGTGAAGAATAGGATGGAATATTTGACTTTAAGTAAATGTATGAGAACTCTTGAATATTTAAGACTTTGTATCTAATTGAACTTTAATTCATAAATTTTCTTTGCATGCATATCATATAGTTGTATTCTTGCATTGGGATTTTGTGGGTAGATCCACTAAAAACCCTCATGAGATACAACTTGTCTACTAAGGTAACCTAGGGGTTTAAAGACTTGTTGCACGTGCTAAGTGCAATCGTGATTCCTATAAAAGTAAGTTAGGTTTTATTTTCTTTTTTGTTATTTGTTTTTTTATTTTACTTGATAATGAGTAAAACTTAAGTTTAGAGGAATTTGATGAGTTGAATTTATATATATATTAATATGAAAATTTTGCCTTAATATTAATGACATTTGGATGAGTTTTACGAGATTTATTTAGTTTTACAAGATTTATTTGATTTTACATAATTTTTATTCTTTGTATAGGTAAGGACTTAATTAAAAGAAATCATAATTTTTAAGAAAAAATTACAAAAATAAAAAATTTAAGGATTAATTTCTACAGAATCCAAAAGTTAGGGACCAAGACTGTAATTTAACCATTAGCAGAAATTGCTCGCAAAGCCAAAAATCCGACACGTTGATTGCAGTGCGCGCTTAACAGAAGGTGTTGACCCCATTTGTTAAGCGCGCACTGCAACAACGTGTCGGGTTTTTGGCCTTCCGAACTATTTCTATTAATGGTAAAATTACAATCTTGGTTCCTAACTTTTGGATTCTGCACAACTTAATCCTCAGTTTTTTTATCTTTACAATTTTCTTTTAAAAATTATGACTTTTTTTAATTAAGTTCTTTCCTATACAAAAAATGAAAATCATGTAAAATTTCATAAAATTTATCCAAATA